TGCTCAATGAACTTTCGGAAAGTGTAGAGAACTCCAACAAAGAGATAAAAAACACAAAAATGGAAATAGACTAAAAAGAACAAACTAATCAAAAACAGATTTGCAAATACAGTGAACAATTTGGTGATGGACAGAGGGGAAGAGGGTTTGGGGTGCTGGGAGAATGGGGTGAAGGGTTAACGAAGTACAAATTAGTAGCTGATGGATGGTCACGGGAATAGGGAGTATGGCATAGGGAATGCAATTAGCATGAATACGTTGGCTAGGTGGAGGGTCAGGGGAGGAAGGGAACAATTGAGGGATCATTTTATGAACTATATAAATGTCTAACCAATGTATTGTATACTTGAAACTAATTAAAATAAATAAATTTTAAAAAACTCAAAGCAAGCAGAAGGAAGAAAATAATGAAGATTAGAATAGAAATAAATGAACTAGAGAATAGAAAAAGCAATAGAGAAAATAAACAAAACCAAAAGTTGGTTCTTTGAAAAGTTTAATAAAACTTGCAAAATTTTATCTAGGCTGACCAAGAATAAAAGAAGACACAGATTACTAAAATAATAAATGAGAAAGTGGACCATACACATAGAAAAAGGATTAAAAGGGAATACTATGGATAACTATATGCCAACAAAAATGGGTAACTTAGATGACACAATTTCCTGGAAAGACACAAACTACCAAAATGGACTCAAGAAGATCAAAATCTGAAAATAAATATAACAAGAGATTGGATCGGTAATATAAAAACCTCTCGCAAAGAAAAGCCCAGACCCAGATGATGTCACTACTGAATTCTACTAAACATTGAAATAAGAACAAATACCAATCCTTCACAAAATGTTCCAACAAATATAATAGGAGGGAACAATTCCTGATTCATTCTACGATGTCAGTTTATCCCAATACTAAAACCAGACAAAGCCATCACAAGAAAAAAAAAAAAACTAGACTAATATCCCTTAAGAATGTAGACACAAAAATCCTCAACAAAATACAAACAGAATCTAGCAACGTGTAAAAATAATTATATACCACATCCAAGTGGAAATGCAGAGTTGGCTTAACACTCAAAAATTAATTACTGTAATACATGATATTAATAGAACAAAGAACAATAACCACATGATCACTCAATAGATGCAGAAAAAGCATTTGACAAAATCCAACACCCTTTACAATAAAACCATTCAGCAGAGGGCATCTATGAAAAACTCACAGCTAACAATATATTTAAAGATGAAACACTAAATTCTTTCTCCATAAGATCAGGAACAAGAAAGACAAGGATGTCCACTCTAGTCATTTCCATTCAATTTTTCCTGAAGTTTCTAGCAAGGCAGGTAGGCAAGAAAAAGAAATAAACAGCATCCAAATTGGAAAGGAAAGACATTTAAGGTTTTGGGAGGTAAAGTAATGCCTCTCCCAAATGTCCATGTTTTAATCCCTATAACCTATGAAAATGTTAGGTTACATGGGAAGGGAAAATTAAGGTTGCTAATCAGCTCACTTTAAAACAGATTATCCTGGATTACCCAGCTGGGCCCAACGTAATTATGTGGGTCCTTAAAAGTTGAAAAAGGAGGTAGAAGCGTTCAGAGTCAGAGGGAGATGTGTCTATTATTTCAAAAATGGTCATAGAAATACAATGGTGCTGGCTTTGAAGATGAAGGAGAGGGACCATAAACCAAGGAATGCGGGCAACTTCTATACACTGGAATAAGCAAGGAAATGGATTCTCCCTAAGAGGCTCCAGAAAGGAACACAGTCCTGCCAACGTCTTGATTTTAACCCAGTTAGACTCGTGTTGAACTTCTAATCTACAGAACTATAAGATAATACATTTGTGTTGTTTTAAGCCACTTAAGTATGAGGTAATTTGCTACAGGGGACATAGGAAACTAAAACAATGGTCCCCTGATTTTTGATAAGGATGCCAAGACAGTTCAGTGGGGAAAGAACAGTCTTTTCAGTAAATGGTGTTGGGACAATTGGATATTCACACATGCAAAAGAATGACGTCAGACCTCTACCTCAGATCTTATACAAAAATTAACTTAAAATGGATCACAGACCTAAACGTAAGAGCTAAAACTACAGAAGTCTGAGAAGAAAACAGAGCAAATCTTTGTGACGTTGGGTTAGGCAACGGTTTCTTAAATAAGACACCGAAAGCAAGCAAGAAAAGAAAAAATAGATAAATGGGACTTTATCAAATTTAAAAACATTTGTTCATCAAAGGAGACCATCAAGGAAGTAAAAAGATAACCCAGAGGATGGGAGAAAATATTTGTAAATCAGATATCTGATAAGGGACTATATAAGTATCCAAAATATATAAGAACTCTTATGATTTAGCATTATGAACACAAACATCTAATTAAAAAAGGGGCCAAAGATTTGAACAGGTATTTTGCCAAAGATAAATAACCCATAAGCACATGAAAAGATGCTCAATATCATTAGTCATTAGAAAAATGTAAACTAAAACCACATTATACTGCCTCACATCCACTGGAATTGCTAAAATCAAAAAGACAGATAATAACATGTGTTGGTGAGGATAGGAAAAATCGGAGCCTTCATATACTGCTGGGGGGATTGAAAAATCGTACAGCTAATTTGGAAATTTTGGCAGTTCCTCAAAATGTTAAATATAGACTCACTATGTGACTAAACAATTCTACTCCCAGGTGTCTAATCAAGGTAAATGAAAATATATGTCCATACAAATGTGGTGCAAGAATGTTCATAGCCCCATTGTTCATAATCACCAAAAGAGTAAAAACAACTAGATATCCAACAATTGATGAATGAGAAAACAAAATACGGTATATGCATATAAAGGAATATTATTTGGCAATAACAAGGAATAAAGCAATGATACATGTTACAATTTGAATGAACTTAGAAAACATTATGCTAAGTGATAGAAGCCAGACACAAAAGGCAACATATTGTATGACACCACTTATGTAAAATTTCTAGAATATGCAAATCCACAGAAAAGTAAGTAAATTTATAGTTTCCAGGGACTGGAGAGAGGGAGGAATGAGGAATGACTGCTAATGGGTATGAGATTTCATTCTGGGGAATACGAAAGAGTCCTAAGATTAGATTGTAGTGATGGTTGCACAACCCTGTGAGTATACTAGAAAATGAATTGCACACTTTAAATAGGTGGATTATATGATATTTGAATTATATCTCAATAAAGCTGTTAAGGAAGTAGTTATTAAAACATATGAGTGTATTTCAAGGAGTGGAGAGATGTGGAGCATGAGCCACTGCTCAGAAAGCAAAAAAAAAAAAAATAAAAAAAAAAAAAAACCCAGGAAGTTGGAGGGCCCAGCCCAAACAGGCCGTATAGTTCAGGAGAACGCTGGATGGAGGAAGTGATACATGGGCAGAGAGCAGAAGCGGAAAGTAGGGCCTGAAGAGGAGACTTGAGTGCCCCAAAGAATTTTGCCAGCTTCAGTTTTGTCAAGGGCCAGCCTTTGGATGATCTCTGAAAGAAGATCCCGGAGCCTTAAGGTGGAGAGTCTATGATGTCAGCACTTGACCTTTGTGACATAGCCATTAGATGTCATGGAGAACTGCCCTCAGGAAATGGGGCTCCTAGCTCCCAAGGGGGGCGGCAACGCCGCCCCTTAGAGAGAGTTGCAGTCTCCCTGAGGCTTTCACCAGTCAGCCCCATTGCTACTGCTGCTGCTGGGCGTGATAAGCCACCTAGGCCTGGGCCAGGCTGAGCCAGAGGACAGCAGCATTAGGAGCAGCAAGCGGGCAGGGGAACCGGAGTTACAGGAAACCAGAATGCCTGCAGAATACCTCGTTCAGGTTTAGGACAACAAAAGCCTGTAACGGAAAACCTCCACCTGGCTGAAGGAGGATTGAGGGCAAGGCTCAGACAGAAATCTGGGCCAGAGTGAGTCCAGGGTAAAGGGTGCTGTGGGGGAGGGGGGGGCGGTGGTCATCCACTTTGTAGTGACTCCTACTCTTTGTCTCAGGTCCCCTCATTGTTGAAGTGCCTCGTGAAACACAGCCCAGTGGAACCCTCATTGGTAAGAGTTCACCTCAATTCCTAGTCTCATCTCAGTCCCCATCTCCCAAGCCCCTTCATCTAACTCCATCCTACCTTCTCTCCCTATTCTTCTCCTTCTCAACTAACCTCCCCTGGAGCATTTTGCCAGTTCTTCTGACTCCAAAGGTGACATGGGTCTTGGTGGACCAGTCTGGAACTGGCACATGAGGCAGAGCCAGAAATGGACTGATTCTCCCAATATCTTGGGCTCTGTTTCTTTCTCTACAGGTCCTATAGGCTGTGTCTTCCTTTCTGGCTTATTCGAATAACTGCTGCTGCCCCTGAGCTCCCAAAAGGCAGCTCTGATTCTCTATCCCTATACAACCCTCACCAATGGCTGACTGCAGAGAAGGGAGTGGCCAAGTTTAGACCCAAGTTCCTGCCTGAACACCCAGAGAACCCGGTGCTACTGGAACACCAACACCAGGCTGGAGCCACACACTGTGCACAGGCAGCCTTGGTTTCTCAGCTACATCTGGCCTCAGAGACGCTGGTCTTGACTCTGCCAGGTCTCTAAATCTCTGGTCTTGACACCCTAGTCCTTTCCGGATTCAAGGCAATGTTGCCTCAAAACAAGAACCAGGTGCTGCTACAGAACTCAGTGCCCCCTGGACGCCCCCCTCAGGGCCCCTCACAACTTGTGGACTCCCATCCCCCCAACCTCCAGCCTCTGCCTCCCCAGAAATCACTCACTCCCTCCCACCAACCTTGCTCTCTTCCCTCACAGTCCCACTCTCCTGGCTCCCATTTCTATTCTTCTGACTCAAATTCTGACTTTGTCCTACATCCCTGCTCTTCCTTTCTCCCAAGTTCCCCAACTTTCTTTCATCAGAATTACCTCTCTCTCTCTCTCCCACATTCTTCCTCTCCCTCCCATCAGCTATACCCTTCACCTCCTCCTACTCACTCCTCCTCTCCCTCTCAGCCACAGAACTCCTCTCTCCCCTACTCACACTGCCAGTCTCCCTTCCGCCCCGAAGACATACCTAGCTCCACGATCACTTCCCCAAGCCCCAGCCTACCTTCTCCTGGGGTCCGCTCTAACAGGCAGACATGGCACTGGCATCAGTACCAGGACACCAGGTCCCCTGGGGTGGTGGGGGGATGCGTGGCAAGCGAGAGGGACCCTGCAGAGTTCAGGGACCCAGGAGCCCTGGCCCAGGCCCTGGTGGTCCATCTGGGGCACCGCCGCATCGCACACGACCTGCGGCTACTGCTTTTGCAGCGCCTGTGGCTAGGCACAACCGGCGAGCCTCCAGTCGTGGAGTATCCGATATGTCTGGTGTGTCTCCGGCCCCGCAGCCCCTCTTGCCCCATCCCCAGGTACAAGACTGGACCCCGGCTGCTTGCCTTCCCCCAACTACTGCCCTATGCACAGGGCCAGGAATCTGGACCACTCCGCATAGGCATCGGCTTTGGCCTCCGCCTGCCTCGTGGCCAGGCCAGGGCTTTGCACCTGTTGCCAGAAAAAAAGCCGGAGGAAGTAGGCCCTCAGGGCAAGGCCCCTCAGGCCCGTGGGTATCAAACCCGGGCACCTCAGGCCCCAGCAGCGGCTCAGGCCCCAGCAAATTCAGCCTTAGGCACACCCTCCCAGACCAGGAGCCTCAGGTCTGCAGGCCCTCAGCCACCAAACTCCACGCGATGTTCAGGGCCTCCACTTCAGGCACCAAAACAGGCCACTGTCTCCCTGAAGCCCAATCCTTCCTCTGCTCCAAAGAAGCCTGCCTCTCCAGAGCCTATTCTCCGAAAGTCGCCACCCTAGCTCCAGAGCCACGAAGGCTCCCTGGAGCACCTCCTCCAAACCCCACCGTCCCTACCAGGGCCCAGATCTCGGGAAGCCCCCGAGACACCCTGAAGGGCTGGCTAGCTGGAGGTCAGGTGTGTTCTCCAGTCTTGAACCCTGGGAGCCCGTTGTGGAGTCTGCTCTCTCCTGGCTGAAGAGGACCAAAGCACCCGAGGCCCCATTAAGCCTTAATGTATCCAATAAAGCCTGACCCTGAAAAATTTGTGTTTGTGTCCTGCTGAGCCAACACAGTGGGTACCTACAAGGGGGCCAGGACCAAGCAAGGGGCTAAGGAGAGTCAAAGGAAACAGTGCCAGGGAGAATGGATGACATGTATCTGAGGCGGGCATGGGACTCAGAAGGCTTGAGCACCTGAGATGTGCAGAGGGCTCTGGCGGGTCTTTTACACATTTAAATCAATTTAATGAGACAGATAATGGCATCCCCAATGATGAAGCCACTGGGCCCTTTCCTCTGGGGGAAATTTAGGTTAATAAGGATGCATGCTGATGAGACCAGGGGAGCAGTAGGTGTCTCCTTGTAAGAAAGAGCACTCCTAGCATTTACTCAGAGAACATAGGGACCCTCACATTGGAGATCAGAAACCCAAGGGCCCCCTTGGGAGGGTGAGGTGTCAGGCAGAGACAAGATCTGTCCTGCTGGGGGCCGGGTTGCCTGCTTCTGAGGGTGTCAGTGGGAAGCAGCCCCTGCCCACAAATCCTCAACAGCTATGAGAATGGCTGCGGATCATGGATAGGTGTTAAGGTAAATAGTGATTTTTTCATACTAGGAAGCGATAGGTTCGAAATTTGAAGCCAGATTTGTTTTAAAGTTCACACTGCCTCCATTAAGAGGTAACATTTCCCATGTGTGACTGATGCAAAACAGGGAGAATCTCCAAGTGGGGACTTGAGCCCTACACTGGCCAGGAGAGGGTCCTTGACTCCACACAGGAAAGAATTTAAGCGTGAGCCAATCAGAGATAAAAGGAAAGTTTATATTAGAGAAAAAAGTAAGGTTCCACAGACAGACGTGGTCGCCTCTCAAAGCCAGAGAACGAGATCCCTAATGTTTGAAGAATTCAGTTATTTGTTTTCCTTTTAGGGTATGGGTATGCAGCGTTCAAGGCATGGGGAACTAGCCGTTAGAGCAAGAATCTTCCTGTGGGTTCCCTGTGGTCTGGCGTGTGCTGATCAGCCAGTTTCCCGCGTGTAACAGCACACAGCAGGCTCTGAATACAACCTGGTTTAATATTTAGTCAATGTGTGTAATTCTCACGCCACTTTCCTATATTATGACCTCAGACAAACCACTTTCTCTCGGGTAAAACAAAGGCTGCGCTTATAGGAGTCTGCCTATCATTCCTGAAGGGTAGAGAGCCCTAATCCAAGCATTTCTTTATTAAAGGTTTAATAACCTCCCTGAACTTTTATCAGCTCCCTTCCTCCCCCTCCTCCAGAATCACCAAGAGCTTTCCCCCAGCGCAGAAGCGCACCTGTCAAATCCCTGCAAAAAGATGGCGGAGTCTGATGTCACAAGGGGCGCAGGAGAACCGAATCCTGACCCCTGGTATTCCGCCACAACAGGCCGGCTAGTGCTGACGCGTATTGGCGGTTCTGCGCCTGCGCGAGGAGTGCAGGCGGGGTGCGCGTGCGCACTGAGCGTCAGGGAGACCCGGGTTAGGTGCCTGGGACAGAGAACCGGTTGCCGTGTGTGATTAGAGTTTTGGCAACCCGCCCCTTGTGAGAGGGGTCAGGAGTGCTGCCGGCGGTGACCGAACCAAATTCAGCAGCGGCTGGGGCAAGAATCGACGGCCGGGCGTGGCATGTCCCAGGTGCCGCGGTGCGGACAGTGAAGCCGGCGGGGAGCGGCATGGGCCGGCGCCGGGCGCCAGAGCTGTACCGGGCCCCGTTCCCGCTGTACGCGCTTCAAGTCGACCCCAGCACGGGGCTGCTCATCGCTGCGGGCGGAGGAGGCGCCGCCAAGACAGGCATAAAGAATGGTGTGGTAAGGGCGCAGGGCCCCTGGGGCTGAGTCACCCCACAGGCTGAGGGCGATTCCGGGAGGGTCGTGGGGGCGGGCCGTACCCCAGCTTCGGACCCTGCTCCTCCCCAGTGGAAATCCCCTTCATGCTGGGAGTGCCCGAGCGAGATTCAGCTGAGAACTTGCTCACTGGGCAATCGAGACATTCCTAAGGTAAAGTAAAAACTGCACACAGCGCTGCGTAAGCAAGAACACTTCAACTCGACCTCAGGGGCAACTCGGGGGTCTTGTCCTGGCCCCCTGAGCGGAGGCTACGGAGAGGTCTGCCCTCTAATTGCGGCTAGAGTGCTGCATTTGGCCCGTAGGCTAGGTTTCTTAACTCTTCAAAGCGGCACCCTATTCTGTAAACTGGTGGTAATAAATCCCAACCCTGCCCGCCTTACAGATTTGTTCAAAAAAAAGAAAAAAGAAAAATGGGTTGGAGAAAGCCTTGTGACTAGAAAGTGTGGTAAGCAAAGGGGTAGGGCATCAGACTACAGGATGCAAGTTTGCCTTGACGTAAACTCCAGGCACCCCTGAACCTCGCTCATTCTGGTTCCCTCTCCCACAGCACTTTTTGCAGCTAGAGCAGATTAATGGGCGCCTGAGCGCCTCCTTGCTACACTCCCATGACACAGAGACACGGGCCACCATGAATTTGGCCCTAGCTGGTAACATCCTTGCTGCAGGGCAGGATGCCCACTGTCAGCTCCTGCGCTTCCAGACCCACCAGCAGAAGGGCAAAAACAAGGCAGAGAAGGCAGGTGAGAAGCCCCCTCTCTAGCTTTGGGGAAAGGCTTACATGAGTAAGATTACTCTCATCTTGGTTTCTAGAGAAGTGGGGCTGGAAGTGGGGTTATGGTAGCAGCAGGAAGCTGGTGGAGAGAGGGGGCTGACACATTACTATAGAAGCCTGGAATCTGGTGGGCTGTTTGTGTTGCAGGTTCCAAGGAGCAGGGGCCTCGCCAAAGGAAGGGGTCAGCCCCAGCAGAGAAGAAATCTGGAGCTGAAACCCATCAGGAGGGAGTAGAACTCAGAGTAGAGAATTTGCAGGCGGTGCAGACGGACTTTGGCCCTGATCCACTGCAGAAAGTCGTATGCTTCAACCATGATAATACCCTGCTTGCCACTGGAGGGACGGATGGCTACATTCGTGTCTGGAAGGTGTGGTTTTGGTGGATTAGGGAAGAGGAATGTCAGTAGCAGCAAGGCCAGAATTGTGAGAAACTGAATGTAGGTTCTGGAAACCTGTGAGTGAAACTTGTGCTGAGTGGCCATAAGAAGAGAAGAGGGGTAGGAGAATCTGTGCTCTTGCTGAGTACCTGGGCTAACCATAGTGGTGGTTTGGCTGCAGGTACCCAGCCTAGAGAAAGTGCTGGAGTTCAAAGCCCATGAAGGGGAGATTGAGGACCTGGCTTTGGGCCCTGATGGCAAGGTGAGGAGGTGAGAGGGTGGAGAAAGTAGGTAGTTATGCTGCATGTTCTATAAGTGGATCTCCTAACTGTCCATCCTTGGAATCTCGATTCCTGACTAGTTGGTAACTGTGGGCTGGGACCTTAAGGCCTCCGTGTGGCAGAAGGATCAACTGGTGACACATCTGCACTGGCAAGAGAACGGACCCACCTTTTCGAACACGACTTACCGCTACCAGGCCTGCAGGTGTGAAGGCCCTGGAGGGTGGCTAAAAGAGGCTCAGCCTAGATATGGGGAAGTGTAAAAAGTCTTGGGGGAAGTGTAGAAAGCCTTCTAGGGGTAGGGGGGATGTTTTCCAGAAGGAATGTTCCCAACTGGCCTTTCCCTCACTAATTCTCCTGTTTTCAGCGCCTCTACTATGTGAGGGAGGCCCATGGCATTGTGGTGACAGATGTGGCCTTTCTACCTGGAGAGGATCATAGCCTTGGCGGGTGTTACCTCTGGCCTGACTAGGGTGCAGGAGGGTACAAACTCTTGAGGAAGTCTGGGCAGGCCCCAGGAGCTTAACAGCTTCTCGCCCGACCCCCAGGTTTGGGCAGGTTCCAGACCAGCCTGCCAGTCTGCGACTCTTCACAGTGCAGATTCCTCACAAGCGTCTGCGTCAGCCCCAACCCTGCTACCTCACAGCCTGGGATGGCTCCACCTTCTTGCCTCTTCGGACCAAATCCTGTGGCCATGAAGTCATCTCCTGCCTTAGTGTCAGGTGTGAGACATTGCTGGCTTGGCTGGATGTGAGGGTGGCTGGGGGAGCTTGGGAAGGAGTCCCGCCTGAGTCCCTGAGGACCATTGTTAGTGAATGAGTGTTGATGCGCAGGCCTCTAGGACAATGAGCATTTTATTGTCTGTTGCAGTGAATCGGGTACCTTCCTAGGCTTGGGCACGGTCACTGGCTCTGTTGCCATCTACATAGCTTTCTCTCTCCAGGTAATGGGTAGAGGTGGGCACAGCCCTGAGGACTCTTTGGGGTGGGGACTCTAGGCCTGCTTCTACCCTGAGTGTGCAGGAAGGAGTCTGGCCAACCTGTAGAGGGAAAGCCTTCTAGGGGTAGGGGGGATGTTTTCCAGAAGGAATGTTCCCAACTGGCCTTTCCCTCACTAATTCTCCTGTTTTCAGCGCCTCTACTATGTGAGGGAGGCCCATGGCATTGTGGTGACAGATGTGGCCTTTCTACCTGAGAAGGGTCGTGGTCCAGAGCTCCTTGGGTCCCACGAAACTGCCCTGTTCTCTGTGGCTGTGGATAGTCGTTGCCAGATGCACCTGCTACCCTCACGGCGTGAGTCATCGGGATAGGGGGTACCACCCAATCTTCATCCTCAGCAAAAATTTGCCCCCTAGTGAATGGGCTGTTTGTTTGTAGCCATCTGCCCCCTCCTTGAATAGAATCAGTTGAGGGTTCTGTTCTTTAGACTGTAAAGCCCATTAGCACCCCCCTAACTTCTTCCCTTACCCTCCCTTGCAGGGAGTGTTCCTGTGTGGCTGCTGCTGCTGCTATGTGTTGGGCTTATTGTTATGACCATCCTGCTGCTCCAGAGTGCCTTTCCAGGTTTTCTTTAGCCTCACTGCTCCCAGGGAAACAGGGGCCTGGACACTGCCACCTTCTGGACCAGAGTGGAGGCCTGGACCCTGTTGCTCACTCCACCCGGGTCCACCACAACTAAGGTGTCCTCAGATGAGACTTGATGGGTACTGCCTGCGGCTCTGTGCAACTCTGAACCCTGGGAACCCTGCATTCATCATCTATGGATCCACCCAAGACAGTGGTGTCTGCAGCCCAAGCTACACCTCCTGCCTCCTTTCCTCTGCCCACCAGAGGCTCCAGAGTTGAGTCTGTCCTTTCTCCAGAAATATGTGAAGATGCCCCAGAATCTGGAGGCATTGCTATCCTTCCTGCAGAAATAATCCATTTCTCCTTCTCCCTTCACAATCTGTGGCCAGTTGCTCTTCACATGAGCCCCTGGCATTTGCTGGCCTGTGACTTGCTGTTAGAGAAAGAAGAGGCAAAAGGTAATTTGTGGGTTCAGCTAGATAGCTCTAAGCCAGCCAGGGTAAATATGAAGTAAATTCCTGGATGGCCTAACCTAGCCTTGAGAAAAGGGAAAGTGAACCTCAGCCCATTTGGCAGGAAAGGTTTATATTTAATAAACAAGGGAAGACTGAACTGAGACCCCCAATGGTACTCTCATCAGCTCTTGCCTCCTTCTGAAGGTGAGGGAGCCCTGAGGCTGCGCAGCTCTGCTGGGTGCTGAAAGATGGCTTTGGCATACTGATGGAAGAGGCGGCTCATGTAGCAGTGCTGCCAGGGGAACAGCCCTTCCAGGAAGCCAATGTGGCCACCCTGGGCTGTGACGAGCAGTGCAACATGGGGAGATTGCTGAGCAGCCTGTAAGGGAAGAGCTGGGGGGAGGGTTGGAGAGAAGGTCAGGAGCCCCAGCCTTTACTGAGAGCCCAGGCTCTCCACTTGCACCTCATGGCCCATTGTCTTTCGAGTGTAAAGCATCCATATTCAGGGTGCTCACCATGGACTGGGGAGAAGGGGTCATCAGCTGCATTGAGGCAGAGCACAGGGATCTGGATGGCATCTACCTTGGTTCTTGGGCTTGCTGCCTGGTAGTAGGAAACACAGTCTTGATATCCGAAGGCCGTAGCTGTGTAGCGCTCGTCAAACTGGCGGATTGTGCGGGCCTGCAGGTGGTGGAGGGTGGGATAGGCTAGGATGAGGATAGGGAATAGGAAGATAATGGAAGAACAGTTTTGAGCAGAGGGAAGATGGTTGAAAGACTATACCTGTAGCACAGAATCTATGTTTACAACCTTTTCCATCACTTTTCTGTTTCTGCAAAAGAGCACTTAGTGATTTGGCTCTGCTGACTTGACCAGAGCACCCAGCCTCTGTTTATTTCATGAGTGAAAAAGCTCAGATACAGGACTGACCCAAGCACTGGGAGAACCTGGCATGTCTGCCATTCTACCCTGTCTGCTGCCCCCTCCCACTTGCCAAGACCCTACCGGTCCACAATTTGGCAGAGCCCAGCAGTGAGGCGCTGATTAAAGAGCAGTGAGTTGAGTGGGGTCTCCAGGGAGCAGGTAGTCTCAAAGGAATCCCAGCATGCAGATAGAGTCAGTGCTGCCACCAACCCTGCAGCCAGCCCCGTTCGTGCCAGGTGGTTCAGCACTAATATCCTGCAGGATTGGACCAATTTGCATTAATGAGTTGGGACAGGAAACGAGAGGATATGGAGGAGGAAAGAAACAAAGGGAGACGGTGTTGGGTTAAGCCCAGATAGGCTTTACCCTCCGAGAGAGATGCCCACAGCCAGCAGTGGAGCTTGGGAGTAGCGGTGCTTGATGTGGTTCACAACTGTCTCTAGATCTTCAGTATTGCTGGCACAAAAGGTCCTGTGGGTCTGAGGCAAACCAGATCATTGGGAGGTCCCAGCCAGAAGGCAGAAGAATGGAAGGGAAATGGGAGAAGTATAGGTAAGTAGAACCACAGAGCCAAGAATCTTAAGGGAGTTGGGTCAGGGGCTCCTTTGAGGAAGGAGGGTACTCACCAGCAGTTCTTCTCCACGGCAACCCCGGTTATTGAATACGACAGCCCTGTGATACACACATGCACATCTTAGCCAGACCCTCCCTAGAAGCCCCTCTTTGGTATCCTGAAAGAGCAGTCAAAAGGTGCCTTTCACATAGCACCATCTCCCCATAGCTGCCAGTCTGAATTGACCTCCCTGTTAACCAGTTTTCATATACCACCCAACTCCTCTGGGCTGTGCTTATCCTTACCTATAACCATCCCTCAAAACTTGGTTGACTAGGTGCAAGATATATGTCTCCTGGCTACTGCCTGTGATGCCAGGAAGCAGTAATACAATAGGCTGTGTGGCAGGATCAGGATATTGACTGCTGTCATTCTGGCCAGCCCAATCTAGCAAGAGCTGTCCTCCATCTGGAGTTTGGAGGACTTCACTGTGATTTTGGAGAAAAGGGCACACAAAAATACCATTAGGAACTCCTATGTACTTAAAAAGGTATATCCCCTGTCCCACCACAAACAACTCCCACAACTTCCCATCAGCATCATTTGAGGGTATGCATTACATAAAACAAGACTATAACGAAATATAACGGGGACATAAAAGATTAAATATTACCTTATGGTTGTGCAATTAAATAGCCCTCCATATAGCCACTCTCATTGTTCCCCTCAACACACTGAGGCAGATGGGGAAAAGGTTACCTTCATTTTAAAAGAGGTAGACAGGATTCCCCTATACTTGCAGCTTTGTGTTCAACTCCTTGTGTCCCTTCTTACCTCCAGTAAGGGACTAGAGGCCGGGGCTGCAGTAAGACGCGGAAGATGGTTTGTAACCTCCCCTCAAAGCACCATAGCGTAGGGTAGAAAGTCTCCACAGTGATTGGGCAGTGTTGCTCCAAGAAGGCCAGAAACCGGGACCCAGTCACCAGTTGAGGCCTCTGTAATCACACAACACAATCTGTATCACTCCCCTAATTTTTACACCAAGCTGGTGAGGCATCAGACACCAGAGTGACCCTTCTCTAGAGGCCAGCCTGGAGGGTACTGCTTTAGCTGGGGGTGAGAAATCTAGCATTCACCTCTTTTAATATAGTCCAGCTAGAGGCTCAAAGAACCCCAGTCCTGGAGTGTCACCTCTCCAGAACTGACCCTGAACCAACTCAGAACCAGGGCCAGGAGCTGCTGCAGCTGACTGGGTGCTGACTCTTCCATCTAGCCTATCCATGCCCTGAACCCATTTTGGAGAGAGCAGATAATACAAGATAAATTGCCCAGCTGATTCCTTGCAGGAAGGGCTGGGATCCCGGACAGGGGCTGAAGAAATGCAGCACCATTCAACCTGCAGCCTTTGCCTTGCAGTTGGATTATCCACGCTGTCATCTTCCCAAGATTAGCTTGGGCAGCGCAGGCGGCTCCTGATTTTAGCACCCTATTGTTGCATATTCCCTACTGCGTATGTTCACTGCTGAAAGGCTTCTTCCTACCACAGCACCTCATTTTCTTATTCATGGGGCCTCAGCTGTTCAACCATACTCTAAAGGAGGATTAGTCCTAAAATGAATAAATTTTCCTTCATGCCAGCCAGGGAGAAGTTAACAGGGATGGGATAACAGGGACAGATAAGGACAAAGGGACAGCTCTGATTTACAACAACTCTGCTTACTGCTTCTGGACAGACGTTAGCAAATGAGAGGGCCTAGCCACAAAGAAGGCTTATGAAGGAATATGCCATACAAAGCCAAAAGGCCTTAGACTCAAACTGCATTTCTGTCATAGGCCCTAAGCAACCCGAGGACCATATTCCTATCTCTTCTGCAGTCTCGGTACTCAAAAGGGGCTGGGTAAATAATGAACTAGAGGCCAGGTTGGTAGCATAACTTATGAGATGTTACACTCTGGTTTTTACGCCCTAGAATAATAATACCTGTGATTCATTGTATGCTATATGCAGGCACCAGGCTAAGCCCAACCTTATGAAGATATTATATAAATGAAGAAACTATGATTCACAGATAGTTTCCCAAAGTTACAGCAAGCAAGAGGCAAAGTGGAATATATATAATATATAATGTAAATATAATTATATTACCACTAATACTAGTGGTAAAATCTATTCAGTGCATTTTACATCCTGTGATAGATATATCCTGTGATCTTCACAAAGCTGCTCTTTGAAATAGGTAATGTGAGCCCTCTGCAGAAACAGTTTTGAATGTTGAGTAACTTGACAAAGGTCATGAAGCTTGCCAAAGCTTAGCAGTGGAGCTGAGATTCAGACCCAGGTCTGTCTGACACTAGAGCTTATGCTCTTAGTCACTGTACTATATTACATCCTAATTGCCAAGATTTTGAGTTGTTATCAATTTATTAGATCCTTGGTCAAACAGCTTAGTAGTGTAGAACAAGGTGCTAATAAATTAGGTCATAGGTTTGATTTATGTGGGTTAGTTTCATTTTAACTCTAGTGAAGTATTTCTTGACTCATCACTGAGAATTAAATTGTAATATGCCATTGGGCACTGTGGACAAATCAATACCAGTCTGTTAACCATGCTGGATAATCCAAACTCCATGTCTTCAAGGCCTCCAGAATGGCACTGTTCCTGCATTTTAACCAGTATGTGACAGTCAAGGAAGGGTTTGGAGTATGAAGTATGAAGTGGCAGAGGCCTCTGACTTTTGTATGCAAGCAAAGGAAAATGTTTAGTTAAGAACAGCTCTGGTCTGAAATGAGTGACCTTCTATATCAGACATGTAAGATTTACAGGATATTGTGAGGTTCAGATTTTTAAAATTGTTTTATTAAGGTAGACTTATCAAAACTACATGTGAGTATAGAAAGCTCTGGAAATACAGAAAAGTCCAGGTGACATTAAAATTTCCTATTGATGTTTTTAAAGGGCTCGAATCAATAGGTTTCTTGTTAGACTCAGCTACCTAGAACAGAGTTTAATGAAGATGAAAAGATTTAGATTTTTCTGCATATGTAAGTTATGTATTTTCAGTGAGAACGAAATCTCCAAGTTCATCAAGGTCAACCCCTTCAGACTTTCTCACTGCACTGTACATGGAGGGCCTCAAACTTAATACAGGGCTGAATGAGCAAGAGCAGTTAGGGTTACCCATTAATCCTGAGCCAGAAGGGGAACCTCTGCCAGCCCTTGAGAAGCAAGGCCCTACTATGCTGATGGGGTGCTGTTAGCCACAACTCAACAGGCCTCTGGTTCCTTCATTCAATACAGCTAATGAAAAACAGCTAGACTGTCTAAAAAGAAAAGGAAAGCATAGCGTGCGTATCTCCCTGACACCTCAGGATGCCTTCCACCCCGCCTTTCCCCAAATGTCCACATCATAGGGAGCCGGAAAGTCCCAGCTATTACAGGGAGCATGCGAGATGCAGAGAGAATCTAGGCGGGCGAAGAACCAACTCTCCATTAGATAACAGCAAAGCGGAGCCTGGCTGGAGCGCGGGCGGGGATGGTGGTGGGGTTGGGGCGACAAATTTCACTTGGGACGAGAGGCCCAACCATGCCAGTTCCCACAAAGGGCTCAAGCCCCCAGCTGGAAGCTGCCCTCTAGACCCGAGTATCCCCAACCCGACGGCTAGAGCTCTGGACCCGCACCCACCTGGGGCACACATGCCCAGTAGTAACCCAAGTAGAGGGCAACGCCAAGACCCCAAAGCCGAAAGAATAGCTCTGTCCAGGTGCCGTTCAGGGGGCTTAGGGAGAAGCTCAGCATACTGTATTCCGACTCCCAAGTTCTTGACTGGCTCCAGCGCTTTGACTTTGTCTAGTCCGCCCGCAGGTGAACGCCGGGCCCCACCCGTTACACGCCATTGGGCGGCCTGTGCAGGGTCCGCCTCCAGTGCCCGGCGGTTCGGGGCCCCGCCCACCGCCTTGCGTCCCGCGGCTGGCGAGGCGAGGGGTGGTGCTAGGACAGCGCGGGCGTGCCCGCCCCCCAGCGCGGCGCTGACCTGAGTGACCCGCAAATGGCTTCCCAGCCCGCCGCCCGGGTCTCGCGCCTCCTTTCTCCGCTTTGCGGTCACAAGCAGCGCAGCCCCTGGCGAGGATTAGCGGCCTCCGCATAGCCGCCATCTTGGTGAGGGGCACCTCCAGCTCCCTGCTCATACTCTGCCCTGACGGCGCAAGAAAGGCAGCCTGGTCAAGGTACCCCAGCCGCTCAGTCCGTCACACACGGGACACAGCCGCTCCAGTGGTGACGTTCTGCTTGGTCACACAGAGTACAGCCATTCACAGTGAAGTTCACACTCAGAACATGGCTAATTCACGTAGTGTCTGCCATGCCGAAGTCCCACAGTGTCAGCCATTCACAGTGGTCCTCACACACTGGATACAGCCATTCACACTGGAAATCTCCACACTGTCACATTGTTGGGTTTCAGCTACTGAGTGGGTGGCATTACAATAGTCATACACACATATAGTTTAAAATCATACGGTGTCACTCTCTGTATGATATAATCCCTGTCAAGTAAGTGCGACAGATTTTTACTCCTCACCGACTCTGTACCAGGCTCTTGGGCTATCCCCGGGATGCTGTCCTTGTCGTCACTAAGATGTAGAAACAACTCATCTAGAGCAGTGGCTCTCGACCTTGACAGAAGATTAGAATCATCTGGGAGTTTTAAAAACTACCAGTGCCCAGGCTCCAGCCCCCATATAGTTGATCTAGACTGTAGCCTAGGTATCAATATAACTTAAAAGCTGTCTGGAAGATTCTACTGTGTAGTCAGGGTTAAACCCTGCAATAGAGCATGATGCTATACAAGGGGAGGTCTAGCTGCAGTGGCAGCACTGAGGAGCATTCTCAAACTCCATGGGATGAGAGAAAGTGTACCCAGATGTCAAATGACAGTACATTTAAGGCGAAACCGAAAAATGAGTAGGAGTTTCCCAGGTAAAGAATAGTTAGTTGTTCCGGGAAAGGAAATGAGCCTAAGCAAAAGCCTGGATATGAGAGACCTCTTAAAAGAACCAAGAGAAATCTGGTGTGCCTGGAGCATACGAGATGGTCAAGAACCAGGTTGTGAGCAGCTATATGAAGAATGTTAGCGTTTATCCTAAGGGTGGAGGAAAGCCATCAGAGTTTTATATAGGAGTGGATGACATGATGAGAGTTGTTTTAGAAGAATCATTCGGGCTACTTCTTGAATGGATTGGAGGAGGAAGAGAATGGAAGTGGAGAGGCCAATTAGGAGGCTTGTTAGCAGAACTTTGCCAAGGATAATGGCTGGCTGGACTGGGGGGAAAGTGAAGGTCTTCACACAGGCTGAATTGATAGGACTTGGTAGTAGGTGGGAGGTGTGGGGAGAAGGAGGAATCATGGATGACCCCCAGGTTTCAGACTGCTTTGATTCAGGGATGCATAATGGTGCCTGTCTCTGGGACAGGAAAACTGGGGGAGGAGAAGGTTTGAGGAGGAAGACGATATATTCTGACTCAGACATGTAGAGGTTGGGGTGCTGGTAAATGTTCTAATTGTGTTTTATTACATTGTCTATTTGGCTTCCATTAATCAGAAAGCCAAACTAATGGCCAAAGTTGTTTACATGTCCCCTGCCATCCAGAGTCCATACTCTGAGCCACTTCCTTTAACTCTCACACACCAAACCAATATATACCCTGTCCTAAATCAACACAGGGCCAGGTCCCAGACAACCAGGGACAGCCCAAAATATTCATTTAGCCAGTCCAAAGCTATTTACCCTGCCATGCCTTGCCTTTCTCATTTAATAAAGGCTCTGGCCTAAGCTTTTCCCTTGCCTTCTGCCTTCTGCCTTACCTTGGCACTTCCACCTGTGGTCCTGTGTGGTGTGCTGTGCCTCTCATTTCTAGGGGAATTGTAACATTAAACTTTCCTCTCAATAGTATTGCTGCTGGCATCCCCCTGCCCGTAACTGCTGCCTCCTCCTGTGGTCCTGCCTGCTGCATCGTGCCTTCCATTTCTAGGGGAACTGTGAGTCACATTAGACTTTTCTTTCAATGGCATTGACCTCTCCATGTTGTCACTCAGTCACCTTTATAAATTAAGATCTGGAACAAATCAATAGCATGTTCAATTTTTTGAAGTAGTCGGGGGCTTAGAGATTGTAATTTGAGATTTGATAGTCATCAGCATTTAGATGATATATTAGTTTGCAGAGTTGCCATAACTAGGTACCACAAACTGGGTATCTTAAACAACAGAACTTTATTGTCTCACAATTCTGGTGACAAGAAGTCCAAGACCAAGGTGTCAGCAGAACTGGTTCCTTCTGAGAGTTGTGAGGAAGAATCTGTTCCACACCTCTCCTCTAGTTTCTGGCAATCTGGCAATTCCTTGGCATGTAGAAGCTTCACCCCAATCTCTACCTGCATCTTCACATGCTATTCTCCCTAAGCATGTGTGTATGCATATGTATCCACATTTTTATATGGATACCAGTCAGATTAGGGACCCACCATACTCTGGTTTGACCTCATCTTCACTAATTATATCTGCAATGACTATATTGCCAAATAAGGTCACATTCTGAGGTATTAGGGGTTAGGATTTCAATATATAAATTTTAGATGGAGGCAATTCAACCCATAACAGAGCGTAATGTAAGCTACATGAACAGATGAACACATAGGCAGATGGGGAGTAAGGAGAAAGCCCAAAGGAACTCTGATACTTGAAGAAAACTACGAAGAAATGACTGTAGAGAGAATAATGGTGTTGCTGAAACCAATAGATGCTGTGATCCAAGGAGGTAGTGTCCGTCAGTGTCCATCACAGGAAGGAGGACAGGATGACCTTGATGAGAGTAGGTTTGTTGTGATGGATGCTGATGGAAAGGAGATGATGGAGAGAGAGAAGATAAAGATTCCAGAGAGATAAGAAGTCATTTATTCAAAGAACTAAGTCCTGGGGGCAGTGGGTGAGGATGTAGTCCAGAGCCACAGTGGAGGAATGGCCACTGTGACAAAAATAGGCGACACTCTATTTTGACCACAAAGCTACAGCCACATACTACAACATTTTGTGCTGGCAAACAACTACCACAACACCCTTAAGATAATTTTCTCCGACTCCTCCCACCCCCATCACCATGGAGCCACTTCTCAGGAATGCACAGTCATAGCCCCACAATGACACTGTCATTGTAAACTAGCAGTCACAGCTGTCACTCGAGCATCACAAACAACTCAGGAAGAGTTCACCCAAATACCTTAACACACATACCACTAACATCTTGTACATCACACACCAGACAATCAGTCTCAAGACCATACTGTCACACTGGATACACAGTCACACAGAATATCCCCTACTGTGTCGCAAGTTCCTCAAACACACAGCCGCATACACCGGTCACGATCACACACCCTAACAGTATGTTACATTGTATGTTGTCACACACATCTGAGTGCTTGCAGGCAGCGGTACATACAGCATCACCACAGGTAAACATGCCTCTTGTACACAGTGGCCTCACCATCTGTCTTTCTGTAGCTCTGATTGTGTCTCTGTCTCAGACACACACACGTATACACGCACACACGTGCACACACACACACACACACAGCGGGGAGGAAGCCGGGTGGAGGCTTCTGAGGGCCGAGTCCGGCGAGTCAGGGCTGGGCGGCTGCCCTGCCCTGGCGCTGGCGCTGGCGCTCCGGACTCTGTCCGGGCCAGGGCGGCGGCTGCAGCCGGGAGGGCGACGTGGAGCGGCCACGTGGAGCTGCCCGGGGGAGGTCCCGGCGGCGGGAAGCGAGGAGCCGGCTGCGCACAGCCTGGAGCGACGCCGAAGCCGGCCCCCAGCCTGAGTCCCGCGGAGCCGCCGCAGGTGGGTCCGAACCCCGCCCGGGCAGACGGGCTGGGGGTATCAGGGGTCTCCTATCACAGCCAGCGGAGACGCGCCGCGCCCGGGCTAGGACCGCGGGGCGGAGGCGGTCTCCTGGCCTCTGGATCTGGATGCTGAAGGCGCAGTCCTTCTGCATCTCCTGCAGCTCAGACGAGTCTGCGGCGGTGGCCCTCGCCTCCTGGCACCTCTCGGGAGGAGGTCACCCCTGAGAGCAGGTGGAAGAAGGGGTGCAAAGCGAATCCTAAATTCTCTCTGTGTGGTAATGAGGTTTCACTATTATCCAAGTGTCTCATTTGTCGCTCTGACAGCCTTAGAGAGAGGAGGGCTAGCAGGAGTATCATCCTCATTTGACAGATAAAAAAAAGGGGGACTTGGGGAGGAGCCGAGGTGATCGTCCAACTGGAAGTGGCAGGATGGAGCCTAGCTCTTCGCTGTAGGAACCCTTTGGCTGCATAGCCACTGCCTCTTCTCTTGGAAGGGGTGTGCGGGGAGACACAGGAGACACCAGAGGGATAAATTTATAAGGGAGGGGATTCAATTCCAAGTAACTTCCTGAGAGGATTAGCCAGAAATGGAATGGACGCCCTGTGAGGTGCTAGGCTCCTGTCCTGGAAAGTCGAGCGGAGACTGAATGACCATTGACAGATTCTGTGGAAGAAATTTTTGGACTGGGTGGGAAGTTATGCAAGATAAAAGGTCACTGCCACATCCCAGAGTCTGAAATACTCAGGGAGCATCTGTTCATTTTCCGCTATTTCCCATTTAGAAAAAAAAAGTGGTTTGCTGTCAACATTAACTTAACCTATATTATCCATTGCATCTTCCCCAAGCCCCTACGAAATAGATACTACTATCCTCATTTTTCAAAATGAGTATCTCAGGGCCCAAAGATGTTAAGACACCTGCCTAGACCACACCATTAGCTCTGTGAGAGGCAGGATTTGATAAGAGGTCTAACCCCCAAGGCTAGCTCTCTTCTTAAGCTCTGGTGCAAAGGTTTGAAGAAATTGGAATGGTGAGTCATTGTGAATGTGAGTATGTGAGAGTGTGTATGTCTGTGTGTGTGTGTGAAATATGTTACTGAATTAACATCATTACTGTTAAGTGACAGTTGTGGCTCTCATGTGATCATTAGGGTAAATTATGTTTACACATGTTACAGTTATAGAAAATGAGTAGGAACATTTTATTTGACAGGCAATGGTTCAATAACTGCTTCATTTCTGTTGCTTACCAAAACTTTGAAAATGCTTAGAAATGGGTGTGAACAAATCACATTTCACCAACTCATTACTGGAGGTGCCTTAGCCTGACTTCCTTTAAGTAATAGAGAGAGGTGAGTTACCTGTACTTAAAATGTCACAGTTGGAAGCATTACTTAAGAGAATATTACTTAGATGGCACTAAAAGTCCACATGCACTTATTTAAGTTTGTGAAGTAGACTACAACCAGATGCTAAGGTTGTCATGAGGGCCCAGGATATTCCAGGGAGTAGGTGGAACAACTTGGGCAAAAGCGCTGAAAAGCGAAATTGAAAAGTGTATCAGGAGACTCCACTAACCCTTCTGTTCGTGTGATGGAGCACTGGAAGATGAGTCTAAAATGATGACTCAATAACTGATTGTAGAATGCCCTGATGAGGACTCTGGACTGTAATAGAAATAGGGAGCCATTGAAGGGTTTGGAGTGATGGAGTTCTAGAAAAGGAAAATTAATCCGATGTGAGTATGGGGAATTCTTTAAATGGAGAAGGTAGCAGAGGCAGGGACAAGAACGAGAGGCTACTGCATGAGTTTGTGGAAGAAGTAATTCATTATCCACTTCATATTCACTGTAACCCTGTGAGGTAAGGACTCTCTCCAGTATACAGATATGGTAACTGAAGTTTAGTGGGGATAATTAACTTTCCCAAGGTCACAGAGACAGTGTTTGGTGGAGCTGGGATTTGAACCTAGGTCTGGCTGCTTCCAAAGCTGTTCTCTGTGCACTGCGCATAACTGAATAGTTGCATAGGTATGACATATACATAAGAGAAGGGGAGTGATAGCTGCTTCCAAAGCTGTTCTCTGTGCACTGCGCATACTGAATAGTTGCATAGGTATGACATATACATAGGACCAGGAGAAGGGGAGTGATGGTAATTCATGTGGGCAGGGTTCAGGACCAGGAACATACTATTCAGTGTCCAATGCACAAATAAGATTAAGAATTTCAAGACAGTAACAGCAGAGCATTAAACTAAGCACGGAGCCCTTCCTAGAGCAAGACCCTGTGTGGCTGCAGAGGCACACACTCATGACACTAGTTCTAATTACTATAACGACTTAACAAACCATCTCAAAACTTAGTAACCGAACACAATGGCTTTGACTTCGCTCATGAGCGTGTAGTCTGGACAGGGCTAAAGAGACAAGCACATTTCTGCTCCATTCTGTGTTGGCTGTAGAATCCTGAAGTCAGGGGGGTGCAATCACCTGAAAGTTTGCTCTCTCACCTGTGTGGTCCCTGGTCTGGGATGATGTGAGCAGCTGGACACCGGAATGGCTGAGGCTCCTCAGGCATCTCTAGCTTTACATGGTTTCTCCACATCGTCTTTTCAGCATGGAGACTTCAGCAACGCCAAATTTCTTCCATGGTGGCTCGGGTTCCAGAGGTGCATATCTGCACGTCCTAATCTATGTGGCCTTTTCTAACCCAGACCTGGAAGTCTTGCAACATCATTTCAGCTGTTTCTTAGAAGTGAGTCACTAAGTACAGCTCATACACAAGGGAAGGTGAATTAGACTCCAGCTTTTGTGGGAAGGAGTGTCAAAGAATTTGCAGACCCAGTTTTTAAACCAGCACAGTTGGCCTCACAAGTGAGTTGATTAGTGAGATCTGATGAGTGTGTCCCCTTTAAGTCTGAAGTGTTACCATTAGAGGTATTCTTTGTCCTCTTTTAAAAGGCAACTGCCTATGGATGATATATTAAACCTGAATAATAGGTTTTGACAGCTCTGAGGGATGTAAATTACTCCAGTGCCTCCTGTTGGCCTAGATCTTGGCAGTAAGCAGATGGGGAGGAGAAAGCAATTTGAGGGTGTCCAGGTGGGGAGACCAGGATGGTGGGTATGTGTGAAGCCACTGCCAAGCAGTCCCGGAAAACTTCTGGAAGGAAGAAGGCCTTATTGTATAACCAGGTATTGTGCTTTACACATCTTGTCTCATTTAACCCTGACAACACACCATGAGGGGTTACAGACAGAGAACCTGAAACACAGAAGTCACTCAGCTAGTGAGTCACAGGGCTTGGATTTGAACTTAGGCAGCCTGAAGTTAGGACCCAAACCCTTAATCTTTGGGCTGTGCCACCTGTTCCTTAGCAATTTTGTGTTTCTCTGACTTTCTCTTAATCATTGTTTTAACATTTGTATCTTTTCCTACTTATATATTTGCAAGCTTTAACGAAGAAAAAAGTAAGTAATTCTACTTTATTTTATTACCTTATAAGATAGTGCCTCATATATATAGTAGGTACTCAATAAATATTAAAGAAATGAATGCTGTTTATCCTTATTCTACAAACTTATGTTTATACTTGCCTTCCCTGTTGATGCTTGTCCTCCTGGTCACTCTCCATGGGTTGCTATGGAGATTTCTGTCTTGAACCCCCAGCTGAGGCCCAGGTGGTGGTGAGCTCCACAACAATGAGAACCCAGGTAGCCTTGAACCCTAGTTGCATTCCCCACAGTCCTCTATCATTTGTCTCCCGGAACTTGGTTGATGGTGTCTTTCATGATACAGAAGTTTAAACTTTGATATACTTGAATCTCTCCATTTTTTTCCTTTAAAACTTATGAGTTTGCAATATTTATCATGTTTAATGTTTCTGTCATATGATATGATTTGCTTAGTCATTGCCTAAATGTTAGATGTTCAAGTTGTTTACATTTCTTTGACTAATATCAATAGCATAGCTATAAATACCTTTACAACTTTTTTTCCCATTTGTGTTCTTCCTTACTTGATCTCCAGGATGATGTTATTGGATCAGGATTTCATGGCAATTACAACACATTTGCAGATTGCTCTAGAAATAGTTCAGGTTTATAGTTCTTCAAACAATATAGGTTAATACTCACTGATTCAATTTATTTAATGATTATAGAACTATTAAAATTTGGTATTTCTTTTTCCATTAGTTTTGCTGTTAAGTTTTTCTAGGCAATTGGTTATATTGACTAACTTTTCAAATTCCTTCTATTTCTGTAGTTATGTCCCCATTATCATTCCTAATATTGTTTATTTGTGCCTTTTCTCTTTGTTCTTAATGAAAATTGTCAGAGATTTGTCTATTTTTATTAGTCTTTTTAAAGAAACACCATCCTATTATATTTTCCACCTCTGCTATCTTTTCTTTTTTTCTTTATTTTAATTTCTTTAAGTTTATTCTGTTTTACTAACTTCTTGAGTTGGAAGCTTAACTCATTAACTTTTAGCCTTGCTTCTAACCTTTTATGTCAATCTATTTTCCCTCCAATACTACTTTAGCTATATGTCTTGTTTTGAAGTATATTTTTCCAAGATTATCCAATTCTAAGTATTTAACAATTTCCATTATGTTTTCTTCTTTGATCTATATGTAAGCATGTCTTTTAAATTTCCATATATATGAGATTTTTATATCCTTTTTGTCACTGATTTCTAACGTAATTGCATTTTGTTCATATAACATAGTGTGAAACTAATTTTTTGATATTCGTTGAGCCATACTCTCTGGCATACTACTTATCAGTTTTTATAAATATTCCACATGTGTTGAGAAGAATATATATTTACTAAATGATTGAATAGGGTTCTCTGTTTATTAGTTCAGGCTTATTGACTGTTTTATTCAATCTTCTACATTCTTATTAATTTTTAGTCTGTTTAATCTTTCAGATACTGAATGAGATATGTTAAATTCTTCTATCATAATGGCAGATTAGATTTTTCTCCTTGT